TTCTCCTGCACAGTGACATAATAGACATAAGCCTGGTGCTCAACAAAGTAGCAGTTTAGAATCAACAGACATGTGATGAGGAATATGTTTCTGTGACACCACGGGCACACAAACAGCCTAGTGAACTAGAAGCTGATAGCATGCAGTGGTTAACCTCCAAAACCACCAAATCGCCTGCACACATCTTCATGTCCTCATCTTTGCTACATGTTAATAAGATGTGTATGTGGCAGCACGAGGTGAGAATAAAGTAAATACTCTTCACAGTTTAAAAGACAACGCCACCCTGGGAATTTCACCCAGAGAATACTGGAAGTAACACTAATCACCAAGAAGGCAGTTAGGTTTGTTATACTCAGTACAGAGACGAGGTTCAATGATAAAACAAGTTGACAATTTATTAATAATTATTTAAAACACTGTATAAAAACACAATCATAAATATCCATGTACAAATATGCTTAAAAAGGTATTCAGAGCTGAGGCTTACCAGTGGAGGGGCAGGGATGCCACGCACAAACTCAAAAAAAAAGAAAACACACCAAGACACAAGTGCAACACAAAATCACACACTCACACTAATAAACTAAACAAGGCAGGTGTGTACACTCAAAGGATCCCACCACCAAGGCACCCTAGTCTCCTCCACGTCGGCACTCCGCATCTGAATAAAAGAAACAAAGAAATGTTAATATATTACAACAAAAATAATATGTAGCACTGGGGGATAACCCAACTGCAGGACCACACTGGTGATCTGCAGCTAGAAAAAGGGCCTCCCACCAGTGACGTAACAAAAATCCAAACTCCAAATCAAAACAACAGAAAAACAACATACAATCTAGATAAAACTTTAAAATCAGGAGCAAACGGAATCGCCGTATTGCTCCAACTTGCCGTCTGCCCGACTATAAGTTAATCATCCGGTCAATTAACATGTACGCCAGCTGACTCTCATAACCGGCATGCACATGGCCGCTGTCCACGCCAACGTCCACTTTAAAAAGCTGGCAGCAGCAGGAACAGAAACCTCGCAACGGGAACAGACGGTAAAAGCAAAGCAAAGCAAAGCAGCAGCACTTCACTTAGCGTGGCGTTGCGTAACACTAAGGCCCACACCTCCGAGTAAAGCGCGTCATGAAACATGAGCAGAGTGGCTCATAGGAGGCTTCTACAGCTATGACCAGCCGCGATGGAGGCTTCAGAATGATTTCTGCAACACCAAAGGGAAGTCAGGTGACCAAAAAGGAGATCACAGGTAAGCGATCCAGGAATGCTCAGATGGCCACTATTTATACTAGCGCCCCCTAATGCGCCAGGCTGAAAGTGGGTTGAACCAAGGAATAACATTCATCCTGCCACATGTACATGAAGTGTTCCTGAGGTTATCCAATTAATTCATAGTTTCAGATGACTGTGAAAATAAATACGTTCATGTTCATTAAAGGCGTTAAGCACAGGCTAAACTGTGTGGCTACAGTAGGCAATATTGTGATTGTGGTCCATGTAACTCATGATTCTCAAAGAATGCTTTAATTTAAATAAAACAATGTTTGATTCTGGCATTAATCATCACTTTTGCACTCTGGTTACTATACTCTTAAAGGATGTGTTAAAAATGTTAAACTAGTAGCTCAGTAATTGTGTGTTGGTCCTGTTTTCAGCTAAATAAATTAAGTATTGTATTTTTACTATGCAAACTGAATCAATGTCATATCTAGTTTTCAGTCTTTTTCACAATCCTGCCTTCATTATAATTTTACCAAATCAAATATTTCATGACTGAACTAAGGCAATGCATTTAAAGTGAAATTAGATAATGAAATAAATGAAAACACACAATAATCAAAATACACATGTTGGAAAAATTAATCAATTTCTGCCCAGCAACCTGACATACCAGTGGCAGGAAGCGGGAGTCTTTTGTTCAAGACAATGAGTCAAATATAGGATGCATGGCACTGTATGCTGGCAGGCCCTGCAGTCATGGCACCCTCTGCAGGCACAGATGCTCTACAAAAGGGGTGTCGAACTCGAGAGCCAGTGTCCTGCAGGTTTTAGATCTCACCCTGGGTCAAAACACCTGAGTCAAATGATTAGTTCATTACCAGGCCTCTGGAGAACTTGTTGAGGAGGTAATTTTGCCATTCAAATCAGCTGTGATGGATCAAGGACACATCTAAAAAACCTGCAGGACACCGGCACTCGAGGTCTAGAGTTCGACACCTGTGCTCTACAAGAATTGTCACTGCTGGATCCATGCTGCAAACCTCAAACAGCATGCTCTGAATCTGATCCAAACAAGTTCAGACTGAGCTCACCTAAACTGCCCTCTGATCACTCAGCATTCCCATGGCCCCAGTGGCTGGGGCTGGGCCTGTGTGTGAATAGCAATAGTCTCAGTAGGCCAGGGTCTGACTGGCTGTTATCCAAACAAGGCGTGTCTGTGTTGTTAATGTTTAATATCGGTTTGACAATAACCATAAGGTCTGTTGAAACACAAGTGTAAGGCAGACTACTCTTGTTTCTAGGTCAGTATGGCTGCAATGGAAGATTTTTTACTACATACTCCAAATGTAACATCTCTGCTCATCACAGTTGTGATCTTACTTGCTTTCTATCTAATATACACCAAACTTGTTTCTGAGAGAAACTACCCTCCAGGTCCCACGCCACTGCCGCTGTTTGGCAATTTGCTACAGTTGAATCGTCAGCCGCTACACATTGCACTCTATGAGGTATGCAAAAAAATCAAATACAGTGCTTGACAAAATTATTAAGCCACCATACAATGTAAAGATTATACTTCAACTGCTCTAAAATAACAGCATTGGTTATTACCAAAATCTTTTTTTGAATGTTTCTGTAATTAAACTGACATTCCATGCTAAACTATAATTTATTATATATTTTTTAAAGCAGATGCTAATTTACGATTATTTACTTGAATTCCTGAACAAAAAATGTTTGTGCGGTTGAAAGTTCTCTTTGAACAATTTCTGACTTCTCCGAGGAGTCCAGTTTGCCCGCTCAAATTTTGGTATAAAACTTTGAATTGAATTTGCCTAATAAATAACAATTGAATTCTAAGTTTTAAACAAGTTTTTGACAGACTTCTAAAATTTAAAAAAATTCACGACATAAAGTTTTTTTGTTTGACGCAGTGTTTGTTGGCAAAGGCAAACAGATTTATTATTAAATGCTACAATTTATTTCCACTCAGATGTGGAGAAACTTAAAAACTTTTGTCTCCTTGTGTTTTACTCACTTCAGCTGTCCAAGAAGTATGGCCCAGTATTCACTGTCCATTTGGGGCCCAAAAAGACAGTGGTGCTGGCAGGTTACAAGACGATCAAGCAAGCTCTGCTGAATGTTGATGCCTTTTCAGACAAAGAAATACTTCCAATTATTAGTGACTTAAAATTAACTCATGGTAGGTGGAAAGCATGTTTTTCTGTGTGTGTATATTGAGGTTTCTTTTTAATATTTGCTTTTCTTCTGGTACTTGAAAAATTCTCTAGGAATTGTTTTTGCCAGTGGAGATTCATGGAGAGAGATGAGGCATTTTGCATTAACAAACTTAAAAGAGTTTGGAATGGGAAAGACGGCAATCGAAGAAAAAATCATAGAGGAGTCTGAGTGCCTGATTGAAGTATTGGAAGAAAAAAAAGGTAACACACCTTTTGACGCATTAACTTTTGCTAATAGCTCTGTTTTTACAAATCAGTCTTAAATTTGTATTCATTCATTTAAAATTGTAATTGTAACTCCGAAATGACAACACAGGCACGGCTTCTTCAAGACGGGCGCTTCGTTGCATTTATTGAATGCCGTGAAAAAACACAAAGGCTTTAAGCGCTTCAGTCTATCAAAAGTAACACTTGTGTTTTCACAACAAAAAAAATTACCTTGTGGCCATCTGCCACTTCTAAGGGCCACTGGAAAAAAAATCTGAGAAAAAAGTCAGAATTCTGACTTTTCTGAGAAAAAAGGGGAGACTGGGGACATTGAGTCCGAATGGACCATGTTCAGCGTCTCCATTGCCAAAGCTGCTGCATTGAGCTGTGGCCGCAAGGTGGTTGGTGCCTGCCGTGGTGGTAATCCCCGAACCAAATGGTGGACACCAGAGGGGAAGGGAGCCACCAGGCTGAAGAAGGAGTCCTATCGGGCTTGGTTAGCCTGTGGGACTCCTGAGGCAGCTGACAGGTATCGACAGGCCAAGCGGAATGCGGCTCGGGCAGTGGCTGAAGCAAAAACTCGGGTGTGGGAGGAGTTCGGAGAGGCCATGGAAAAAGACTTTCGGA